GATATCAAGCTATCAGGAACCTCAAGTCCCATTAATAGTTTCATGCATTTTCCCACACTTCTTAGATTTTACTGTAAGAAAATATTATACTGAATGTTTAAATCTGCTTTGGAATCTCTCAGAGAAATATAGGTATTGTTATATAAATCACTAGTTGTGTATTTGGTGGAGGGAGCAGAGAACAGAATTGAGCGAATGCTGGTTAATGCTATGCACTACCAGTATTTGGATTCACAAGCCATTGGAAACATTAGGACTTTATATGTCTTATACAAACTGATTTAAAATCTTGAGTTATACATATCTAGATCGCATCTAGTGTTTAATCAATTGGACACTTACAAATAATGGGTAAATGATTTGTTGTCATATAGAATTGAGCTCTGCTTTTCACGCAGTGAGAATAACATTTTTATTTTAACACTTATGCAGTTGATTGTAAACTTTGGGGTGATATAATTTAAATGGAGCTAAACAGTCCATTAGCTATGTCAGTGCCTACTCTCTTGCCAAGCTGTAGCTTTATGCTAAGCTGTTGTGTACTGTGTTACATAATCCCCTGCATTCATTTTCTCCACCTATTTAGCTTGAATACATACAAGGTGACTGCATTGTCTCTCCAACCTCCTTCTCAGTGTAAACACCAAGTATAGAAAACAGATTTGGGGCTCTATTAGGTTTTCCTAATGAGGGACTCAGTGAGTTGAATGGACTCAGAAATGCATATTTGTCACTATTTGGTTTTGCCCCTTTTAGTTACATTTACTGTCAACTTAGTATGGTTTTCAAGGTGATAAGAAAGTGCTTGAGTTTCAGCTATGGAAGAAAATTAAGATAGGTTAGAGTTTTAAGAGACAAATAATGTCAGTTGTCAGAGAATACAAAAGAATCATTTTGTTAAGGTCCTTACTCATTCCTCCTTCCTAGTTGTTTTAATTGCTCTTTTCAAGACTGGGTCATGTATTGCCAGAGACTCTGCCCTATAGCAGTCAGGAGAAAGGTATCCCATGAGTAAAAAATAAAATAATTTGGCTTACCTAAAATGCGATTCAGAGAGGAGCTATCAGTTGTCTATTGTTTTTTGACTAAGGAGGAGATATTCTAGCAGTTGGGGTGATACTGCTTTTAGTTGTTCCTTTGGCTCAGAGAAGAGGTAGACTGAGAAAATTCTCCATTGAATGGAGAGACAGGGAAGATTGTAAACTGTTGTTGCAGTTTTCATTAGATATTTGCAAAGGAAGGCGCTTGGCTATGTAAAATCTTTGTTGATGTATTTGCATGGAGATTAGCATAAATATGCATGTCATTTGCATGAGCACCGTCTTTCTCGGATTGGTTTTATTTCTTATTTATTTATTGTGACAATTCTATTCTCTATACTGATGTCACTTTTTTTCTGTGGTCCTCTGTATAAAACAAGTCTTTTTTTTTTTTTTTTCCCTTAAGGTCAAAGGATTGCCTCAGTATCCATTTATTTTTTGAGTATTTACATTTTTAAAATTATGTTTTTAAAAACATACCTGGTTCATTAATGGCCCTTGACAAGTAGAATCAGAGCATGAGGACTCTCCGGAGTGACAGGCAAAGGGTAAGGTAGCTGATATTCAAAGTCCAGAGGTCTCAAAGTCCAGACTATCATAAACTCACTACATCATTGTGGGCAACTCATTTATTCCTGGTTATCAGGTTATTCTTAAATACAATGAGGACATTAAATCAGACAGTCTCTAAAATCCCTTAAAGTTCTAAAATTTATTATTTTGACAAACTTCCTGCTCTAATTATATGAAAAATATAAAGTGCCACATAGCACATTAAATAATACATCCTGGTGCCTTTGCTTTTCTGTGTCAAGCATTCCCCCCTGTGAAGGATATTCTATGATTAATTTACTCTTCTCTCTATCAGTACTACTTTCCTTACTCATTTATCTCAGTTCAGTGGGCACACAAGGTGTAACTTAAATGTTTATAGAAGACACCCATTAATATACTATGTGTGGTGTCAAGGGCATGCACGGTAGCTCTATTTGTACACGTTCACTTCTATAGGAAAAGAGCTTAGTCGTGCTAACTGCATTTGATTTGTCATCTTCTACTTTAGACAAGGGTCACCTCCAGGACTCCTAGGCTTGTCCAGTTGTACTTTAATAAAGCCATCTCTTCAGAAATGAGAGAGATTATGACAATGCATAGGGCTTGAAGTGATTGGATGACTCTTTCAAACATGCAGAGGGTGTTGGATTTCTTTCTGCTTTATGATTTTGGGGGCCTATTTTGGTAAAATGCATCCTGCATGGGTTATGTGTACAATGGTACTTGTTGTATATATGTAAGCTACACTGGTCCATCTATAGGTAGACCAGTCCCTTTTGCTTACATGAGTGTGTTTATAAATAGAAATAGGCAGGTAGACATTAATCATTTAGACCCTCTGGAACACACAAGAGAAACTTGAACTCTAACTTTTTGGAGCATGAAGTTGAAGATCACATTTTACTGATGTTGTAGTGCTATATCATGGTACAGCAGTAAAGCATGGCATTCTGAGAGGCTCACACACATGGAATGTTTTTATGTTCACATCTGGAGACCTCCTTGAGTGCCCCAGGCATGTGCGTATCCATGATCTGTGGCAGGATAAGCTGTGGGGTAAATTGACATATCAAGATTCTGTTGAGGGTGCTGTTTCTCTCTCTCTCCCTGTCTCTCTTTTTCTCTTTCTATTCCTCTATAAAAGAAATCAATACATTAAAAAAATAATATGTAGGTGGTGGTTTCTATCCATATAACTCCTTCAAAGCTTTTAACTTCTGATGAGAAAATATTTTATTTCACTCAAGCAATTTACCTAGGACTATGATAGGTGATAGAGATTGAAGTTGAGGTGGTCATGTCTTTAGTTTTAAAGGCTGGAGTGTAGTTTTGACAAGAGCAATAGAATTATCTCAACTTTATTTTTAAGCCCTCAGTCTTGAGAGGAAAACTGTATATCTAAATTTCTATTGTTGCCAGTTTTATTTCATTAATAAGGTGCTTCTAATGGCTTTTAACCAACCCTGATATGAAGTAGGCCATTATATGGAAGGCTGTATAGCAAGAAGACAAATGGAAGTGTACATGCTGTGTCAAAATCATAAAATATATTAAAGAAAATATATTCTATCCTCTTTGATGAATATACCTTTGGAACTAACTGGAAAGTATGGTTCAAATTTAGAATTTTTGGATACCTTGTAAATAGTTCTGCACTGGAAAATGGCAGTACAAGAAGTACCAGCCACCCCTGGACTGCAGCCTGTGACCTGCATCCTCTCTCTTCCCACCTTTGCGCCTGTCCTGTAATACACGGGTCTGATATAAATGCGTGTGGATATCTCAGCTCACATGGTCAAGCTCTGTTCATATTTCTGCAAACCCTCCTTGTGACCACCGCTCAGATCTCGAGGTGTGCACACTGACAGCAAGGTTTTCCTTCAGAAAGATGAATCCAGGGAAGAGGACTGCACAGTCTGAGGAAAAAGGCTTCAGGCTTTTTGGGTAAAGAATTACAGGATTTCAATGCCTGAAATATAGTCTTGAAAGAGAACATGGATTCCATTTGACTGCCATCTTGGCCCCATAAACCCAACCTTAGTTCTATGGGGAGGGATATGGCCATAGATTAGTCCTACCTGGGCTCTCGCATAACACAGCTCCCTTTTGCTTGAGTCTAAGGGTGGCATTGCTGTCTAGTCAGAGCATATCACCAGATTTCATTTTCTTCCCCTTTCCTACCTGCTTGATGATCATCTCAGGTCTTACTTCCTACTTAATAATCCAACCATGTTCCATTGGGCTCAGAAGTCTGCCATGGGAACTAAAGTTAACTGAGTTATTGATGGATGGAAATCAGAGCTGAATCTTACAGGGTAATTGATTTTTAGTTATTGGTCAATAAAAGGTACCTAGAGCTAAAGAGTCCTTTGTCAGAACAGTTAATTATCTATTCTAAACCAGCTCTTCTATAAGTATTTAAAAGTCATCACTAAAGCAAGAGCAATGTAAACCTCACTTGACTATTTTGCATAAAATTTCCCTGAAGATTTTTTTCCTTATATTTAATCACTGTACATCATTACAGTATACAATAAATATAATTTTTTCAGCATGAATACAGTGCATATTAGTCAACTCAAAGATATTACTATGTGTGTGTGTATATATATATATAATCCACAGTTAACTTTCATTTTTATGTTTATCAAATTTATTTTTTCCTTATCTCCTTCCTCCTACACTGTTCTCCATTCCGTTTCTCATCCCTTCCTATACTGTCTCTAGTATATACAGTTGCCCTCTCTGCTGTTATATCTTCCAATCTTTCCATTTCTGCTGTAAAGTACAGACATTCAATATATATTAAGTGGAGAATACAATGCCTATTTTTCATAGTCTGGCTTATTTCATTTAGCATTAAGTCCTCCATATTTGTCCATTTTGTATCAAATGTCAGAGTTTCATTTTTTTATGTCTGAGTAGTATTCCATAGTGTACATGTGTCATTTTTTCAATCTACTTTCTGTTCTTGGACATTTGAATTGATTCTGTGTCCTAGCAATTGTGAATAATGCTCCAATAAACATGGAAATGCAAGCGTTTTTCTGACTGAGTGTTTTCCTATTATACCTAAGAGTAGAATTACTGGGTCATCTGGTAGTTCTGTTTGTAGGTTTCCGTAGATTTTTCTTTGAAAAAAAAATTGGAAGACAGATATCAAGCTCTTCTGCACTGTCTTGTATTCTACCTTGTGTGGACACACAGTTTCTCTGAGTTATCTTTTCTTGCAAGTTTCCCTGGTATTCAGATTATAAGTGTTCTATGAGAGTTGGAGGGACTACTGCGTTGGTATTAACCCAGTAGCAGGAACAATGTCTTTGGGGCATGTTCTCTTTGGTATTTGTGTAAATATAACTCTTACCTGTCAAGTGTTGACTGTTTTCCTCTCTTCTTCTATAATAGCCCGAGAGGAGAATGTGGCCACTTTCCGAGGCTCAGAGTACCTGTGCTACGACCTGTCTCAGAACCCCATCCAGAGCAGCAGTGATGAAATCACCCTGTCCTTTAAGACCTGGCAGCGGAATGGGCTCATCCTGCACACGGGCAAGTCGGCTGACTATGTCAACCTGGCTCTGAAGGATGGTGCAGTCTCCTTGGTCATTAACCTGGGTTCTGGGGCCTTTGAGGCCATAGTGGAGCCTGTGAATGGAAAATTCAACGACAACGCCTGGCATGATGTCAAAGTGACCCGCAACCTCCGACAGGTAATGGCTGAGGGGAGCGAGTGCCTGGGAGCCTCATTCTAAGTAGTTGGGTAGGAAGTTTGTGAAACAGGTGATGGGTGAGGTGGAGAGGGGTAGAGCTATGGATGTGGACATGTCAAAATCTAACTTTCTCCCAGTCTTTTCAATTTCCTAAGTAAAATTATTAAAATATGTTTCTCCTCATACTTAAATTCTCCATTTGTACTTGTTATTTAAGAAAAAAATTCAGTTGTATAGATAATAAATGTTTTAAGTACTTTCATCCCTTTTATTCTGCTTTTCTTTTATCATTTTTTAATTACATTTGAATCTTATCACATTATTGTTAAATTCAATTAGGGACAGTGTTTTGTTTCTGCAGCTTGGTAGATTTTCCTCATTCTTTGAGTATACGTTTTTCTTCTCAATTAAGTTACCATTGCCATGATGCCATAATTTTAATTTTAATTCCTTCCAGAAAAGTCTTCTTTTTCTCTTCCTATTAATTTATGAGCCCTTCCCAACTTTTTCTTTTACTTTTTTCTTTTTTTTTTTTTATATCTTTCTGTTGTTATGTTAACCTCTAGCCTTGGAATTAATTAGCCAGGATCTTTCTGAATTCCTGTTTCTCTGTTCCTTAATGTGGTGGCCCTACTATATTGCCCCTGTCTTTACCTCCGAGACTCTTCAGTTGACTGAGAGACCTGGAAAGTGGAAGGATCCACATAAAAAGTCAACTTTGGAGCATCCTTTTCTGGTCTGTCCGTGGTTGAGAACTCCCATCGCTTGCAGATTCTAAGCAGGCAACTCCGTCAGGTGACAACACTTGCAGAAAGCCTTAGCCAAGTGAAGTTGTTTTCAATTTCATAACCACTACTACTACTAGTGCCTTACCAGCCCATATCAGTAAAAGAAAAATAACTCCAAGGTCTTGCTGAGACTGCCTTTTCCTGGTTGTGAATTTGTCATTAAACCCAATTGGACAGCATTTATCTTTTACTAGTCAGAAAACATTATGCAAATATCCAGGAAGTACTTATCAATTTTTCTTCTGCCATATGATTGATTTAACATCCTTTAATATAAATAAGAAATTACAGGTGCTTGCATATGTTTTCTGTTTGTGTGACTTCACAATATTGTTAAACGAATGACTTGGCTAGCACACACTGGAGGCACACAATAATCAAAACTCCCATTTTATACTCCCATGTCAAGAAAGATATCTGGTTGGGACAATCTATTCTATGCATGGTGAAGTTGCCAAATAACACAAGATGTAGAGTCCCCAATTATCTTAATTCATATATATTGACAGTTTTGAATTATTGTTTTATGTTTTCCCCTAATGCCAAAGAACCTTAATACTGATGTTTCTTTTCACTATCCCCATTCACACTTACCCAGAGGAGAACTTCTCAATTTTCTACAGAACCCCAATCAAATTTTCATTTGCTAGCATATAATGGCTTAATGTGTTAGAGCTGCAGATACTAGACCAAATAGTAAAATATGACCTTGTGCCAACTTTGATTGGTAGGATCAAAATAACACCTTTTTGGCATCAGTCATTTGAGGAGAGACTTTCCATGTATGAGAAGCAGAATCAGATCATGGCCCTCACCAGTGTGTTTCTTTAGCTCTCTCCCATCCTACACAATTCCTTGCCATGCTAAAATGAGTCGTGTTAGCTTGAGAAAGGCTCACATTTTCTTCTGCAAAACCACTTCTCTAAAATAGTATCAGGTGCCTGTCATATTCTCTAAACTGAGAGAGGATAAACCAAAGTCTAAGTCAAATATTGGTTGTCTGAACAACTAAAGGACAGCTACTCTGGATGGTTTCTGTTCCAAGTTCTATGGTTCAGCTCCTCTCTGTGCCCTTGGACAAGCCACTTAACCTTTCTACACCACAGTTTCCATTTGTGAAATGGTGATTACAATCCTCCCAGCCATGTGTGGTAGCTAAATATGCAAAGCACCTTATGTTCCAGAAGGATTATGAGCTCATCCATGGTCTGGGTACTAGACTTGTTATGACATGCTCATGATTTACAGACTGAGCATTCTGTTGCAAAGGTGACTGTATCTGTCTGGTGCCAAAAATGCAGCTGAGTAGAGCTCTCTGTTCTAGACAAAGCTACAGAGCCTTAGCGTATTGGGGCATTTCTTGGCAGAGGGAGTATTAATCTCATTTGAAAAAGTACACCTAAAATTGAACCTTATTAAAATCCTGACAAATTTTGCATCCAAATTCAGCTTATTGAAAGAGAAGAAAAATCTCAGAAAAGCAGAGTTGATTTTTCCAATGCAGTCCTTTCAGGGTTGAATCATCTAAAATTATTATTTTGCCCATTAAAAGTATTTATAACATCTAAGTTCCCTAGGACACATGTGAAAGCATTGGAAGCCCCTATCTGTTTAAATTAAACTGTAAATAGCTTCATAAATATTTGATAACAAGCTTACAGCAGCCTCATCTACTTTTTTGGTAAGGCTCAATGGCTTCTGTAGCAAAAAAATTCATCTGAGGAAAGCTTACCTGGAGTTTTTGAGGTATTCATTACTAAATGGAGCAGAACTATCCTCATTTCTTCCTTCATGATCATCTCTTTGTTGTGCTGCTTTTAAAATCAAGTTAGGACCAAGGCCAGGCTTTATTGGGACTTTCATTTGAAGGAAGGAATGTGGAATATGAGTATTTGTTACAAACTAAAACTGGGATTAGGAACCAAAGTATTTGTGTGTAGGGAGTAGGAAGTGAAGGGGTTAGTCCATTACTTTGCTTGAGCCCAAGGTCATGGACTCAAGTGTGTTGACTAATTACTCTGTGTGCTACTTTTGTCAAACCACAAACACAAATCTGGGGTCACTAGTGTTCCCACCTTCCCAGCTTCTGAGCCTGGGGGGTGGGGGCTAGTGATATAGCATTTGAAAACAGCATTGAGGAGAATAATTGTAGGGCTTTTCTGTACAACTTATAGTCCTCACTGCTATTTATGAAAGCAATTGATTAAAAACTTGAAAAGCATTGTTCAAGGGAAAGGAGGGAGCCAGATTCCAGTAGGAAGCATTCCTGTTTTTTTTTTTTTTTTCTTTTTTTTAAGAGAGGTTTTTGCTATAGGGCGTGTGTGCTCGCCAAGCAGACAGAGAGAAACAGAGAGACAGAAAGCGAGAAATCACCCTCCAGGGTGAATGGCCATGCCACAATCCGTTCTCCTCCATTCTTCTCTTGGGATCTTGGGCACACACGCACACACGCCCAGCATGAGTTTAAGCCGCCAGGTCTGGGACGCGAACTGTGGTCGACTACGTGGGAGTCCAGTGACATTGCCATTATGCTAACTGCTGGTCCCCAGTAGGAAGCATTCTGACAAAGTAAACAAAATCACAACCTCATTGGGTAATGAAGAAGACTGCCTTGTTTGATGCATTCTAAGGACACAGTTATTTAAAACTAAGAAGAAAGGAAAGGGGAGAGAGCATGTTCCCTTCAAGCAGCACAAATCCAGAAAAATCAAGGAGGTCATGGATCCTAAAGTTACCTATGGAAACCCAGAATATGCTACATAACATAGCTTTCCTCTACTAGGTTTGATCTGTGAATGTCTTGAGTTTATGATTATTTTTTTTCTTTTTAGGAGAAAGTCATGCTTGTCTATCCATGTAGTCAGAGTCAGATGTGAAAAAAAAAAGTCCCCAACACATTGGTATTTCAGTTCTTTTCTTTATTTACCTCCATCTGGAATGATAAACCATGAGGTCTTTTCTTTCAGAACAGGTGGAGTGTATATGTGTTAGAGGGTGGGAAGGGAACGTGGGTGGAGTTCATTCAGAAGAGCCTTTGGGAAGTAAGTATGATGCTGCCTCTCTCTGAGGTGAGGTCTGGTCCAAGTGGTATTTGGAGCCATGGGGGAGCTCCAATGGCATGTGGACTACAGCTCCTGCCTGGCCGTGCCAGGAGGCAAGGTTTTCCATAGGGTCCTGGTCTCATTGTCTTCCCCACTCTCTTTTTCTGTGTCGGGTGCCTTTTTTTTGAAAAACTAACACAAGATCATTCATGCAATGTGTCATTTTACTAACCGACTAATGTACTAACACCCTAACGACTCATCTTTGTTTTTAGTTTTTTTAATTAACAATCGTTCTGTTCACAATTTTTAATTTCCTTTCTTCCCCCTTCTCCGCAAAGCACTCAGGCATCGGACACGCTATGGTAAACAAACTACATTGTCTGGTAGATATCATTCTTATTGTCTCTTTTTTTGGGTTTGCCGTGTGTTGCCCTCCTTCTCCTCCCTAACCCCCCCTTTTATCCTCTTTAAACTTGTTTCTTCTTCTTTTGAAATTTTTTTTGAATTAAATGCAAGCCTTTATTTTTCTTAAAAAGAAAGGGGCTGCATCTGTCCCAGAAATTATATTTGGTTGAGTTTCATGGGAATGGTTTTCTTTTCTCCAGTTTAAAATTTTTTTCCCTCCAAAGTAATTTTTTTTAAAGAAAGTTTTTCACATAGCCAAATACGTTTTGTTTTCTTATTTTCCAACTTGCAAGTTATAGACTAGGGATGATAGAGATATCAAGAGTAAGGACTTTCTTCTCTATGTCTTCCTCTCCCTCTCCTTCTCCCTCCTTTCTTTTTTGTCCTTCCTGCTCCTTAATCCCTTTCTCTTTACCTCTGGTGTGGCCACAGCTGCCACAGGTGATCTGGGGAGGAAAGTACTCTCCTTCCTCTACTCTTCCTTTCCCTTCTTTTCCCTTACTCCCCCACCATGGCCAAAGGGACTCCTCCAATTGTGTTCTCCATACCAACTCTGCATGGCATGTTCCTGTCTCGTGAATTTCCCCATTGGCATCAGAATCTATTCCCTCATTTTACTCCTCATTACTAACAACCTACCAACCATTAACCAACTCCACTTTCTTTTCTTTTTACTTCTCACCCCCTGTTTTACATTGTCCTTTCATCCTTCATATATTTTGGGGGTTGGGTTTGGAATTTTTCTTTTCTTTTCTTTTTTTTTTTTTAAGTGAGGGAGGCAACAGGCAGTGGAAAGATGACATTTTAGTTATGAGTGCTGTTTTATTTTTTTCCCCTTCCATTTTGTTTTTCATTTTGCTCAGTGCATGCTTGTGTGAAATGGATTTTGATCCTTTCTTTCATTTCTCCTTGTCCACTTCCCTACTTTTTTTCTCCTGCCTTCTCTCTTGGCTCCAGATGATTTTTGCATGGGTGTGTCAACGTACGGTGTGAGCACGCTTTGAAGTCCCATATTTTCTCTGCCTTCTGTTCCTTTCATGGATGTTGGGTGTATGGGTGCCATTTCTTCCCTGCAGACATTATTACTATTATTTTGATTATCATGCCACATCATTTCTTTATTTATGTTGGAGTTGCCATTTTGGTTTGGGTTATAACATCTCTCGGTGGGAAGGGCAACCAAGGGAGGGCAGGGGTTGGTGACCCATGGCATGTATCATTCATGACACATCAGAATTGAAACCCTTCTCCTTTCCTCCCTGAATGCATGTTTGTCAGTGTGGTGTGAGCCCAAAAAGAAACCAATATGAAAGAAAAGGAAAAGAAAAGAAAAAAGGAAAATACCATCAACAACCAAAGATCAACCCCTAACTCCATCGTTAAATGTCTCCTTTGCTGTTTTTCATTACCACCATAAATAACAATCATATAAAAAATAAACAATCGTTTTAGCAATGAACTGAGACAAGTGATATCGTCTGAGGGTAGTTCCATTTTCTAGCCTGTGAAGAGTGCAATGGATTGAACAAGGTGCTCAACTTTGCAGTTTCAACAAACTCTCCCTCGTGTCTACAGAAATACTGGAATCTTGGAACACAGGGAGGCAGACTAGAAAATGGAACTTGGGTGCACATACCAAAATCAACCCAAATTAGAAAGAATACCTCACCAAAATCTTAATGAAAGTGATGCCACAAATAGGGGAAGCCACCAAGTTTCAGTAGGACTTAAGGTCATTGCTGGGATTTTTTTTTTTTTTTTTTGTCCCTATGTCCCTCAACCAGGTGACAATCTCTGTGGATGGCATTCTTACCACGACGGGATACACTCAAGAGGACTACACCATGCTGGGCTCAGATGACTTCTTCTACGTGGGAGGAAGCCCAAGTACTGCTGACTTGCCAGGTTCACCCGTCAGCAACAACTTCATGGGTTGCCTCAAAGAGGTAAAGTTCTCTACTTAATGCACTGTATGACTATTTAGAAACCTATGAGATTTCTATTTCAATGCCTGGATTTTACCTCTAGTGTGTTCATGAGGTGATGGGATATAGCAGAATATAGCTGGGACCAAACTGTAGGACTTGGCAGCAGATGTCCTACATTTTGGTCCCAGCTCAGGCTGGTTATGTGACTTCAGGTTCACCATGTAAGTACTCTGTGTCTCCACTTCCTCATCTAAATAATGGAAAATCTTTTCCTACAGGTAGCCGTACTTTATAAATTAAATGAAATAACACAGATGAAAGGCTTTTGAAATCATAAGGAACTAGACGCCTGTGAAATTTGATTTTGTGCTTTTGACGTGCAAGTAGAGAAGCCCTAGCTAAAAGTGGTTTAATGTGTGGTTGTGTGCCTTGTCTAAAATATAACATGTATATTATTATACCTTTGCCAACTCTGGTGTTCCCAAGAGTCTCATTATTTGAGATGAAGGAAAATTCTCAGAAAGTAACATTAAGGCTCAGAAGACTATTTTTTTTTTCTCTTTTCTTTCTTCTCTGAAAGCGAGTAGCTACAGCTGTGAGAAAGCAGGGGGGTTTTGCCATTCCTCATTTATTACCGTTGTAGCTGATGTGTTGAGACCTCTGTCTGAGAGCAAAGGAGCTTCAGTCAAGTGTAAGTTCAATCTCTAAGGTCAATTGTTGAGGCAAAAAGAATCAGACTTGATTTGGGAGAGTTTGTTCAGAACACTGTGTCATCAGAGTAGGATGGTGCACATTTTGTTTAAGCTAAGCTAAGCTTGATTGCCTAAGATATCTATACCGTTTCCCCAGGGAAATTCCTCGAGTAGCCAACAACAGTGTTCCTTCCTGTAGATAAGAATCTTTTGTGACATCTTATGAGCCTCCTCTCAGGGCATATGCTTTATTCTTATTATGGTTATTTGAAAGTTGTTGAACATCAGTTATATATGAGATGGCACTGCACATGCGTGCATTCACGTGAGTTATGTCTAAACATGAATTGCATCTATGATGCCTGGCACCTAATAAGTATCTATTGAATGGATCATTTTCAAATAATCACTGGGTACCTTCTTCTGTGCTGTTTTTAAGCGAAACAGCTCTTTACAAGCCATATTCTCTGTGCTCCAAGGCTTTATCATCAAGAAAGGGAAATGAGATCAGTAAGCAAATAATTACAGACAGGACACCATGCATTCAGTGCCACTTACTAAGTTTTTTAATTGTTTAGAAAAAACAGATAAATTTTAGGTAGGAGTCAGTTTCAGAGAAGTGACATTTGAGCTGGACCTTGTTGAAATAAAGCATGTGTGAATTGAGAAGAAAGGGTGGAAAAGAGAGACATGACAAAGGGGGGGAAATCCGATTATAGCTTCATATTATTATCGGTCTGAAGGACAAATTAAGAAGAAAACCTAAAGAGTACTTTTCTCTCTAATGCATGCTACCTGGGCTTCTGCTGGCTTTAGGGATTCCATGTCATCTCTGATGGAATGATGGTAGGCAGAGTCCTTCTCAGAGATTTATTCCTTTTTGGATAGAATAAAGGCACAAGCTACTCAATGTCTAATAAACCCTGAAAGGCTCTTAAATACTGTTAAATCACACTACATTAGAATTCTACTTTAGTCAGAAAAAGGTTGTAACATTCCTTTTGCCCAGGTTGGAGCTCAAAAATGAATGGAGTATGGGACCAGCAGTTAGCGTAATGGCTATGTCACTGGACTCCCATGTAGTTCACCACGGTTCGCGTCCCAGACCCGGTGACTTAAAACTCATGCCAGGTGTGTGTGCGTGCGTGCCCAAGATCCTGAGAGGAGAATGGAGGAGAAGGGATTGCAGTGTGGCCATCCCCCCTGGGGGGTGATTTTTCGCTTTCTGTCTCTGTCTCTCTCTGTCTGTCTGGCGAGCGCACGCACCCTATAGCAAAAACCTCTCAAAAAAAAAAAAAAATGAATGGAGGATGATTACCATGGAGTGCTCATCCACTTTTGTAGCACAACAGCTTTGAGCTTGGAATGTCTCCTGGACAGAATTTAGGGGTAACCCTTAGAACAAAGGTTCTCCTACACATAACTGTATTCAACCTTCTCTCAGTTACATATTTGGACACAAAAGAGCAATTTCCCTACTAGGAATCTATTGACCAGGAAGGATGCCATTGAATATTTTGAAGCAAGCCTCATAAAAACACAAAGATGTCTCTAGTGACACTATCCATACAGAACCTAAAATAAAGTCTATACACAGTCACACTTGTACTGCTCTAATAGACAATAGAAAGCCTCAAAAGTCTATCAGAAGTGTCTCTTCATAGTTTAAAAGTTAAAGGCGGTTTTGCAAAACATTGTTGATAGTAGAACTAAGGGTAATTAGTGATAAAAATATACATATAACTTGGCCGGCAACAGCACAAATCTGCATCTAAATATAGACCAAATTAGAATAAGAAAAGTCCAAGATTGGGGAAATGGTAGACCAAATAGCTTTATAATTTCTGTGTCAAACTTTACTTTTATATCAACATTCATAAGGGATCAGAAGCCTTCTCCTATGTCTGAGCATTTTGAACAGAAAAACTAAAATAAATAAATAAAGTTAAGTTTTACTGTTCATGGTTCAAGTCCCAGACCCAGTGAAATAAAACTCATACCAGACACATATGTGTGCATGACCAAGATCTTGGGATGAGAATGGAGGAGAAGGGATTGCAGTGTGGTCCTCCCCCTGGGGGGTGATTTCTCACTTTCCATCCCACTGTCTCTGTCTCTCTCTCTCTCTCTGTCTGGTAAGCACATGATCCCTAAGGCAAAAACCTATAGAAAAATAATAATAATAACAAGGAATAAGCTTACCTCATGGAGCTCTAAACTCTGGTGGAGTTTGGATCAATAGTACATTAGCCACTTTGGGCTGTTATAACAAAGTGCTGTAAACGTGGTAGCTTATAAACAACGAAAATGTATTTCTTATAGCTCTGGAGGCTGGAAGTCCAAGATTAGAGTGGCAGGATGGTTAGGTTCTGGAGAAGGCCCTCTTCTGGTTTGCAGGCTGCTGTTTTCTCATTGTATCCTTGCATGGCAGCAAGAGGGTTAGAGTGCTCTGAGGTCCCTTTTATAATGGCACTAACCCCACAATGAAGGCTTTCCTCTTATGATCTGACTACTCCCTAGAGACTCCACCTCCTAATCCCACCACACTGGATTTAGGACTTTAACATATAAACTTTGAGGAAAGGGTACGTTCAGTCCATACAAATATATATTATGATCACCCTATGGTATGGTAGTTAAGGCAGCTGGATCTCATATGACTGACTTAGGGGTATAATCCCAACCCAGTGGCTTAAAAATCATGCTGGGCATAGTTATGTCCCCAAAATCCAAAAAAAAGAGAGACATGAAGGAAAAGAGATTACAGCATCACCATTCTTCATTGGAGTGTTTTTTCACTTTCCCTCTTTCTCTGTCTCTTTTTGGCCAGCACATGCAGCCTCTGGTGAGTACACATGGTCTCTGGCAAATAAAATTATGAATAAAAGATGGGGCCAACAAAGGGCATAGTGGTTACATTGCTGGACTCCCACATGGCTGACTGTGGTTTGAGTCCCAGACCTGGTGGTTTGAAACTCATGTTGGGTGCATGTATGCCCAAGATCCAAGGAGGAGAATGGAGGAAAAGGGACTATGGCATAGTCATTCCCCTGGGGAATGATTTCTTACTTTTCCCTCCCCTCTCTCTCTCTCTCTCTCCCCGTCTACTTATTCAGCAAGCACACACACCCTAAGGCCAAAAAACCTCTAAAGTGAATTAATCAAACATTTTTCCTGCTTTAGGGGACCTTATACTTAGTGTATAGAGACAGATAAATGCATAATTTCAATAAAAGACCGTTATGAACAAAAACAAAGCATTCCTAGTATCAAAGTGGTTGCTGAGAAGAAGGATGTCACATATCTGGGGTTAGGGAAGAACCAGTGGAGGAAATAGTGTCCAAGGTGAGGAAGCTTGACAATGAATAGAAGTGAGCAGGGAAGCAGGGAAGAACAATGGGAGACTGTTCCAGTTTTTTGTTTTCTTGTTTTTTTTTTTTTTTTTAAGGTTTTGGTTGTACTCTTTTTTAAAAATATATACTTTTTTTTAATACAGTCAATCACTGTATATCATCACAGCATGCACATTGAATTTTCCCAGCATGAATACAGTGCTTATTAGTCCAGTTAAAAGACTCAAAATAGAAAATTTGGCATTTTGGAGATGTAGCTGCAGTTAGATACCAGGTCAGTGAGGGTTTTATCTCACGCTGTTTCCTTAGACTTTTCTCTAGGTAATGGGGAGCTATTGAAACATCTAAGCTGTGGAACAATATGGTCAGATTGGCTTCTTTTCCATTAGGCATTGTCTCCTTGAGGACTTACATTAGTCCAGCAAATATTTCTTACTGATGTATATTTTTTGTCTTAGGAAGTTGCAGAGCAGAGATAGGAAGAGTGGTCTGTGAGCTTTAGCATTGGACTGGGAAGGTGTTGCTCTGAATCTGAAAGTTTCTACAAGAAAGCACTTCCTTCTGACTCTAATAACTTTCCCTATCATAAAATGCATTTATCGTTTTCTCTGTTCTTGATATTACTGATCTATTATTGTTAAAGGAAGTATAATGTAGTAGAGGAAAGCCAAGTTTAGTCTGAGTTTCATGGTTGATGTTCCCATCAGACTGACCAAGACCAGGGAGCTTGTTCAAGCCTATCCCAATACCCTCATAGGTGCTGGACCTTCTGTGTTATTCAGTTCAGTTCTTTGTACATTTTTCTCCTTTCTCTTCAATCAGTCATTTCCTCCTTGGTGTGTTGGTACCTCCAATTGACCACACAGAGACGCTCAAGTGCTACAGAGACCTCTGGGACAGATTGGTCTTTATCACCTCTTTCCTTGTGGCATCTCTAATGGGAAGGAAGGAAAGGCAGGAGAACTGAGAAAAC